CTTCAATAACGTCCTTTGTGTCATACTGTGTTCAAAGCACCCACTGTACATTGATACGACGAAGGAGTAATCCACGTTAGGTGCTTACCGTGAGCTGCTGATCACACCATTCTCATCTAACTTGATTGGTCCACAATCATTTGACATAGATTATCTACGTTTGTGATCTGCAGATGTCTCATTGAGCTTGCTGGATATATTATTGTTTATCTAAAAGTTATGGAACATGTACATGTCCTTGTAAGATTCATAATCGTTTGCTGAAGTGGAAATACGCCGAGAACTTCGTGAAAAAACCCTTTGAGTTTTTGTTGAACATCTGTATCTTTGTATGTTTATTCTCATTTTAAATTAACCGCAATTATTATTATAACGTCCACAAATTCTGAATCCCTACTATTTCTCATATGTTTTACAGACTTCCGATGGCCATCTTATCTGAATTCGAGTTTTTGTCAATCGTCTGTGACAGTCGAAGGAAGTGCTGGTCAGGTACCGTCATATTTAAAACCTTTTTTATAATGCCTCGTGTTTGTATCTTCAGCGTCGTTTTGAATACTTGTTACGTCATTATTAGGAACAAATTGACTACCAACTTCTTCCGAATTACGCAAAAATATATAGACAATATTATCGTTGAAATATTTTGCTTCTGTTCAGGTTCATCGGTAAACTGTCCCTTTTAGTTTAGTGAGAACCACAAAGGTTTCTTCGCAATCAGTTGTCATTTGGCGTTAGTTGGTAACTTCCCTCATATACTTCTTCGTTTGTGCCAATCTTTTTTTCAGATCGATAGTTTTGTAGGGTCAGTCGTTCTCATTTTCGCTTATGCATCAGCATTGGCTTCTTAACATCTGACTGAAAGCATTGTACTGCGGATCGGTGATTGACAAAACTGTTGTCAAGCTTTCTATATGATGGAAGTTCTCAAAGCTAGTCTAAACAAAACTCAAGAATAAGGAGGTCCGAAGATACATTTGGAAGACTTCCGATGCGTCGAGAAGCACCCGACCTAAGTAACTGAGCTGTTGCAAAGGGTGCTTGTCACGGTGTGTACAACTGTGATCTAGTGTAAATGCCCAGCTTAGCGTATGGAAGGTTAACGTCTAGGTTGATACTAATGTATTCATCTTTGCTACTAAAACAATAAAACTAATCCAAGTTTGTGGAACTGACATGATGTAACTCAGACATCTTTCCGACATGATATGGATGCCATATCATCATCTGTGCTGACCTGTTCTATCGTGATGGTCAGCGAAATTCTGAGAAACGCATAGAATATAGATAGAGTAACATAATTATTTTAGTACAACACAAGGCTTTTGGTAGCCCTTGAATATCTGAACATGTCGACAATCCTTGCACACAATTATCGTCTTAAATCGGTTAGTGAATGACGGAATTGCACTAGCCAAATACGAGAATAAATTTCAAATACGTGTATTTCATACAGTCATCAATCCAGATGAATGATAGGAGAAACGAAGCGAATGAAGAGGTAATGGAGCAAAGAGGAATGACTTGCGGTTGAGAAAGCCTGCAAGTCAACTCGGTTTAACCAAGCGAGAATCTATATTTACAATCGGACAAAAATAAGCAACAGACATATGAGGAGTAAGATGAGAAATGCACACACATATGCTCACACTGAAGTCAAGGCAATCAGCATGGTCAAAATATGACTAAAGATGAATGAAAAAAGTGGACTGTCCGGAACCTAAAATAAGCTATGTTTGCTCGACACTGTAGCTGACATTACAAGTTATTTGTAGTGACCACATCTGTTCGACCGAGTTGTGCAGTTCTGATTCTTGCGTCCTTTGTTCATCACATTTGACTTTCACCTTGTCATCACTGCTAAAAGTATGTCTTTCCAGTTTTCGTATGCTCGGCTTCAAAAATCTCACTACAAGCCGTCGACTTGGGACGTATTCGGCAAAATTAACGATGTCGGTATTATTATCAGAAACGTTCATGGCTGTTCACTTTGGTTAATTATTTACCGCTACATAATTATTAGGAGCTGTCTTCTAAGGTTAGGGTTTGTGGAGTTTAGCTACTTGGCGATTTTATTGTTAGCTATTATACTGTCCAGCAATCTTTATATTGTTTGGTGTCATACGGTTGTTATGATCACAAATTTCTTTGTTCATATTCGCTTCACCGATAGATATACAGATAACTATTGTAGGTGGTTCATGTAGATGGCCGCAGTCTACCCAAGTCAAATAGGGGCGCTGTGACCGAGCAGCTTACTTCGAAGTCACACATGGACTTCTAGTTCATTATATCCATGTGCTTTGGCCATTTTGCTGACCATATCGGACAAACACGGCATTACTTTTTAAGTCTATGAGTAAAATTAGACTTCAGAGCGGAACCACTATCTCTTGAGCCAGTCCGCGTTAGTCATTATTGACCGTGATGGTGTTCAGAAGTTTGTCTAACGGCCGCTTTGCTGTTATATGGTCGCTTAGAACAGAATCACTGCCAAGACGTAGTTCAGGATAGCATGAACTTGAACCGGCATCAACGGTTCATTTTAATGATTTCAAAGTTTTCAACCCATCATTTAATAAAGGCACATGTAATAGCTGAAGAAGTATTATTCATACGTACTATCGCGGGACTTCGCGTGAAATTATCTGTATTGGTTGGGAAGCTAGAAAAGAAATTCTGCTCCGATACAAGCTCTACTAAATAGAGACGAAAATGTCTAAGATGTACATCGTCAGTTGTTAATGAACTTTGTGGAATCTTGTTGCGGCAGTGTCCTTTGTTGTCGTGTTTACTGTATGTAGTCGTCAAGGCTTTTTAACATTGCACATCAACTCTTACTTGCATTGTATTTTACTTCGTCATTCGTCCCAACGAAGCAGTACGGTTATGTTTCTATGATGATTTAGCGTATTTGAATTATAGTGTGAACTAAAAATCCCAGAAATAACGTAATCGGATCAAGAAGTACTAGATAAGCACAAACGAATGTGCTGTATTTGGAATTCGAAAGCAAGCGTTCAACAAGTACAAAGGAATCATTACCTCGTTCAAACACCACAGTTTCTCAGACATTTAGTTGGGACAAGCTGTCTGATCTACTGAAGTTGTCACCATATTCGTTCCATCTTATTGGATGTTCTACTATTCATGACAGGTAATTTCTCATGCTTGAGACAAGGAACCTGCAGCTATGTTGCTCGCACGCGTAACATATGAGATACCGATTGTATGAATGCTTGGTTCCAGCTTATGGTGCTAATTTACCACTTTCGATTGATCATCTTGGTTGAGTGGTCTTAAAGTCCTGTAAATATCATGTTCATCGTTTCTGTCATTTCTCTTTATAGTGTTTTCCTACCAAATAGTCGTCAATGTACGCATATGAGATGCGAAAATAACAGAATTAAATTCGACTAGAGAAGATTCAAAGGACGGCACATTATCAATATCACGTTATGGTTAGAGTACTACTAGTACTACTATGTGCTATATGTAGACGCATTTTTGTGGCAGCCAAATGTTGAAGAGTTGATCGTGGTTATTTCTTTTTTTATTTCCGCAAGGTCACGTACATGCCATTTATACAGGCATGGTTTACAAATTAAAACATGTATTGTTTCACAGCACGCATGTTAAATAAATATAGTCTATAGAAGTGAATATAAGTTCATTCCTTCAGATATTCTGAGTAGTCGTCAAAATCTTCTCCAAAGTGTCACCGCGTCCACGTTACACATCAGATCCAATCTCGACGTAATTGTGTTAGGATTTTGGTCGTGTGAAGTATGTGTGTTATTTCTAAGAATAGACTTAAGCGCCGATCAAACAGGAAGGTCAGCATATAATTTATGTAGCACAGCTCAATGAAAACATGAATTAATTTAGAAGGTATGAAAGCGAGGTTCTTAATCGGTTTAGCGATAGTAATGTGGAACGTTATATTCATAAGTCACCACAACTTTCGTTGACCAGTATCCTATATTATTCTTAACAGAATTTCCTTTGACAAACTGTATATCCATCCGGTACAGTGAAATAATTCGCTTTATTGATACCAATCAGGCAAATATTGAGTTAACGACTTTAAGTATTTTGTACAGCTCCAAAATATCAAATATCAATTCAGATGAATGAAGGAAAAGGATTAGATTACCACATATAACCAATTTTTTAATGATTGTTACTCTTTCACCCATTTCATAAAACAAAGCCAGAAATGCCATCATCAGTGAAACGCCGACAGCAAAGCAAATAGCTCGGTGAGCGAAAAACTAAATTCTGCACACAAACTCCTGAACAGTTTGAAAGAATCCGGTTGGTAGAAGAATGATTGCGTAGATCACAAAGGTGGGAGACATGTGCTAATGGCTGAAGGTCTATTCGAGTTGAATGAGAGTGACTTGACTTGCCAGCTTACATCAGTATCACACGTCCATCTTAATACCCTTTAGTCGTACTCAGGTACTATTGCTAGATAATGGTGGTACAGAAATTCATCAGTAGGAAAAGATAAAGAAAATAGAGTGTGATCACAAGCACATGTGCTCATCCTTCATGTGAAGTCGATCGATGCGTGTTGGTTGCCCGTGACCCTGAAGCCGATCGATATATTGTGTAGTACTGAGTGACATTCCTGCTGGATGGTTTGGCTAAGGCTCAGTCACATTTCACTGGTTCTACAATTTCTTCGGAGAGCCAAATGAAAAATAATTAGAGATGTTTCATTTAAAACTACGATGGAAGAAAGTGGCAGTCATTAGCAGGCACGAATTCATGATAATTAGGAAATCAAAACTATAAATAGACAGAGAAATCTTTCGAATCCTTTACTATATACTGCACGAAAATTAACGAACTCTATCTCCTGACCTCCGCGAAAGCATATGATAATGAAGTTATTTCAGAAATCCACACACTGTCAGTTTGCAAACGATTATTTTGTTTGTTGGCGTCAATAAACCAAACCTATTGTTTTGTGTTCCTTTAAATTGCTTGACATGTCCTTGGGATTTTCTTCAGTTGGTCAGTCAACCAATGTGGAACGGAAGCTGGAGAATAATAAGTAATGAAGTTTCGTCAATTTGAGATTTTTAGGTTGAAAAATTTTGGTTTCCTTGTGCCTCACATATCTGATTTTGAGTATGAATTACAGGAGCTTTTAGTTGAGATTGATATGCTTATTGAGAAGAAGAAATGTGAGTGGGAAAAAGATCTTAAAGCCCTCGAAAGAAAGCTGTCGATTAAGGTGTCTGAAAATGACAGGCTCCAGTGTCTTGTTAACGAAAAAGAAAGGGATGTAAGTTGTTTTTTATATAATAAACTGTTTTGATAGCTACAAGATGCTTTTAGGCGCCTTGAAATGGTTGAATCTAAGGATCCAAGGATTTGTTATGGCAAACAGATTGAGGAATTAAGTCACAAGGTTGACGCAATGAAAGCTAGTTACAGTAATCTTCAAAGGAAATATCAAAAGCAATTGGTTGCAGAAAAAAGTGATTTCTCAATGCATTTACGTAATCTAGAGAATGAAAATGAAGCTCTGAAAGCTGATTACGAGAGATCAAGGTGTGTCATTTACTTTTCGGTCAGACATCCAGGCTTGTAGAATAATTATTTCGAAGTGTACCTAATTTTGTATATTATATTCGAATATGAATAGTGCAATATAATGTGATTAAATATATGCGATAGCCACGATTGAAATGCGACAGTTATCAAGATTCTAAAGCAAGTTAATTTCTGTTTCTGGTTACTCGATGTTACAGTCAAGCAAAATCGAACTTCTAATCATTTTTCAGTAGTACGGCAACTTGTCTCCTTACTGTTATTCTCTATCCGAAGTCAAACAATCACACGTCATTTTTCACCAAGGAGATGTTTTCTACAGTGCAAGCTGAATAAAAAATGTGCTCACAGACTTCCTATCCTGTCGTCAACATATATTCATTAGGCCTGATTTTGTTATTCAGTATGATATTGATATAAATACTTGGTAAAGGTTTCAGTCAAATTGAAAATTCATCGACTTGTAAATACTGGGCGATTTTCATCGTGTTTTAATTTTTTCTTGTTTTTATCTAACGATACGAAAGAAACCTCGTCCGATTTCTGACTCATGAACTGTGTAATTTTCAGTAAGGATGTTTATATTTCACATTTATTATTTCTTACAGATTAGAAGCCAAGCCTCTTTATTCCTGTTTTTTAAGGCTAACATTCTATCATGAGGTACAACATTTGACATCAAACAGATGGTATGGTTCATTAAGCAGTTATTCTGGCTATTCCTGTTTGTGAAACTCACTAAAAAGTTTCTTTATGTTACTATATGGCTAATGATATTTTAGGACTGATGAACACCCATTTTTATTTCAACATAGAATTAAACAGCTCAAAATTTTTGCCATCCTATTCACTTAGTCATATAAACCTCACATATCCTGTTTCTCTCATAATTTGCAATAATCACCTCATGATTTTAATACACGGGAGGAATTGCAGAAAAATTTAATTATATTCTCGTGATAGTTTTTTGTGATCTTGGTTTCAGCGTTCCATGTTTAACCACTGAGTTAAAAGTTCAGATGCCACCATTTTTATTTTCGTTAGCCAGGTACCAGTTGTGAAAGAAATGAGATTTATGATGATGCCAGTAGTCTGATACGTCTAATCTAGTCCTTGAATTTATAAATAGCTGTTTTTTTATTTGGGAATAAAATATTGAAGCTGATTTCTAATATGTTAATTTGTAGACTTCACTATCAAAGCAACCCATTGTGTCACTAAATAAAAGTAAAGAGAATTCAGTGGAGAAAATTTTGTTCGATGAATCCATTCATTTAAACTGTACATTCGTATTTATAGTTGTTTAGCATGCATGCATATATATGCATATATATATATATATATATATATATATATATATATATATATAGGAAAGGTTACATCATTTTGTGACTCAATCTTTACTATTCTATAGGTATATATTTACCAAACAACTATAAATACGAATGTAAATACGAAAATAAATTTTATTTACTGAATTAACTATTATTTCTCAACTTCATTCTATGTAGTTACCCCATATATTGAACACAGGTTTTTGTACTCAGCTTTGAGCCGCATCGATTGTGTTAGCTACTCAAACCTAGGAAGGTGAAGCCGGTTCAAATCTGGGACCTACTGCTTAATGTGCCAATTCAAAGTTCTTGAAGAGCGTTAGCATTAGGTTCTTGAAAACGTAAAGTGGCTTACTGAAATTTGACTAGAAGTTTTATAAATCCTTATGAAACATAACCTTTGGCATTTGTAAAATTTGAGATAAAACTTGTTTACTTACAAATTTTCAATTACTTGACAGTAAGGGCTTCTGTCACTTACAATATCTAATCTCACTTAGCCTTTTTATAGTTCATAATGTTTACATTAGTTTATGTTTCGTTCGAATTCCAGTTGGATTTTCAAATGATATCTATACTTCATTACGAGGTATTGTCTAACCTATTTAATCACAACTTTTAAGGGTTTTCTGTAGATTGTAGTTTCTTGCGGTCTTTGGAGATATTTTACATAGATTAACTCGCCTTAGTCGTTTGTCTTCACAGTTGCTTGTTGAATTCCCTGATTGTTATTGTATTGGTGGTTGAATGCAGCTTAACACTATACGCTGAATACTTTGAATGTAACCTTATGAAGTGGCACCTTAAGAAATTTTGCATAGGTATATGTTCTGTACTAACTTTTTATTGCAATTTTTTAATGGACTACGCAATGTTGTGATGTTACACAAATTACTAATTAGCCACTATCCGTTTAAAAAACAGAGTCAGTGCACCGACTATTAGGTTATTACTTATCAAATTAAAACTAAGGTATCAATCAGTCAGACAACTCAAACCATATTCAAGATAATTAGTCCCCTTACTTTGTCCGTGTGTAGACTACCATTTTATCATTCCAGTGCATTTGTTTATTCAATATACCTATATACAAGTGACCTGGTTTCAATAAAACATTTAGGTATTTAGTTTAACCAAAAAGTCGAGGCAGAATCTTGGAATCAATATTAGATCATACTTAAAAAGTTGTTTATCATTTTTCAACTTGAAATCTAGACAAAAAATGAACAGATCATTTCATCACTGAAACAACAGTTGGCTGACCAAAAAAATAACGCACTTGATATTCAGAAACGGTATGGTGAATTGCAATCTCAATTCGAAATAAAATTACAAGAGGAAACCAACCAGAAGAATAATATTAAAGAGATGAAGGAAGAGCATCAGTTAGCCATCGACAAACTTAGTAAACAGTTAAATGATCATAAAAATACAATTAAGCTTCAGGTATTTTTGAGCCAATTTCTCTAATTATTGATTTCTTTATAGGCCGAAGAATTAATGATTACTAAAGCATCACTCACAAATAAAATTTCGGAAATTCATCGCCTTCCTCATGAAGCTGAAATGAAAAGTCAGTTATCAATGGTTCTCAGAAATCTGTGAAACGTCTAGAAAAAACCATGGCAAAGCGTTTAAACTTACTGTTACATCGAAAACACAATTCAACACCCAATATATCAGTTAAATATGGACAAACTTCACCTACTGACTTATCATCACCATTACAACAGTTACAGCAACCTCTCAATGATCAAGAAGAAATTACTCATAAAGTTAAGTACTTGGAAAATCAACTGAGTGAAGCTAATAATACCCTCATAGATAAAATGTTAGAAATAAGGTAATCGATTTACTTACCAATAATTTAAAATAATTAAACTTGATATACTTTTCTGATCAAATAGATTGCTGTTCAGGTCTACGAAAACCACCTCTATCAGTTAGCTTTAGATTCACTTACTTGGATGTATCTATTTATTTGGATTTAAGTAAAGTTTTTGTTAACATAGAATAAATCTTCTAATAATCTCTTCAATAGAATTAGGATTTCTAACTCAGTGGTTTAGATACTTAGTTTTCAATCAACATGCCACACTTCGGAACTCTTCGTCAATCAAAATTTATAAATCTAAGTGCTACATTAAAGTCCATACAGTCAGTATGACTAATTATCCATAACATAATGCCGTATTTAATTATTGAGTTGTAATAATGATGTATTGTTTGGGATGGTACTTATAAGTTAATTTTAGTTTTATATAGTTAGAAAGCAACTGATAAGGAAACGAATATGTTGGTTATCATGACAAAATCTTTATAAATGAACAAACAGAGACAACGAAGACCTTGGGGAAAATCTAAGCCATATTTATCACAGGTAGAAAGAGGGAATGGAGAACTTTTATATAGTTAACAAAAATATTCAAAATGTTCGTTTTGTTTAAAAAATTTCCATTATTGTAACAATTATCAATTCAATTCTTCAGTGGCTACTGAAAGTCACAAGCACTAATTAGTAATTAATATTTAGGTAAGTACGACTCATTCAATTTTTTAGAATGATTAGTGCTAAGGTGTTATAGTCATGTTTATGTTTTGCCGTCATAAGTTTAGTGAACTACTAACTAAATCATCTGGAAAAATTCAGCTATGGTTTTTCGATGTTGAATTAGGGGTTATTTTTATAGATAAGCAAAGTAATATCACAAAGCGTGGTAACAGTTTCAAGCTATACTCTCGGGATATCCTAATTTGGTACGTATTACTGATAATACCCAGTTTGCATTTAACGAAGTTAAAAATAATCACCACTAAAATCATGTCGAATATATCCATAAAAACTACTGATAACCGTTTTTTTAGGTTTTGCTTACCTGACTAACATAAATCTTATTAGTGTTCTCAGTTCAAGATACTTAATTTTAAATTATCTGGGATCAACAGTAAGCAATCCACAATTGATACAAACTATACCCTGTCTCCAGTCCAGTTAGATACATTGACAAATTTTTGTGACTAGTTGGATGACAATTCTCGCTCATGATTTATATTTACAGACAAACTTAGTGTTATATATTATTGATGTTGAAAGATTTCGTATATATCACAATCCGGAAGTACATTTGTAAACATTATGAGAGCCTAGATATTTATTCAAAAGTTTTGCACCTGGAATTCAGTTGACTGATACTGCTACCTTTAAATTCAAATATTCCCCTGATTACATTCAAAACGTACTTACAGATTTCAAAAGTGAATTCTTCTGTACAATAAATCCGAAAGGGTTACATTTGGCTGTCTTTCCGAAAAATTTAGTTTCATCTTAATTATCAACTACTGCAACGTCACTATCCATTTTTTGTACTTGCGCTTTAACAAGAAAGCAAAAACACTAGACATCGATCGGATAAAACTAATCATATTCGATAACTGATATCTTCCATGAGAAAGCTAAATTTAATTGGACGTCATCGTCTATGGCTCTATTTTCAGTCTTAATTTTCCTCTTGTCAGGCTGAGGCAATAAAAATTGGTCAAAACATAGCAGTTATGCTATCACGATCTGAGCCATTTAGTATAAAACGGGTTTCTTTTATTAGATTTTGAAAATTTGAGTTGAAATTGATCAAAACAGGGAGTAAAATTATCTAGGGAATTAGCTATCTTTCGCGTTATTATCAGGATATTTACAACTAGGACCGAAATATGTTGATGGGTTTCGTTGTAGTAATGTTCCTTACTTAACCTAAATCATTCTTAACATTTTCATATAGGTCATTAATCCACAAACGTGATGATAAGAACATTTCGTCTTATCGAGCTGCTGACGAATGAATTTATATCTTTTTAGTACATCACAGTGCATAATCTAATTCAATTCATTTCTGCTTTCAGTCGACTTGAAAATACATGTCAAGTAGCGTCTGCTACAATTCGTCGTCTAGTGGAATCCAAAGCATATTCTAATGGACAAACTAAGTCTCTGGAAACTTCCATTGATGAAGCCCGTGAAAGAGTGGGGAATTTTGAAAGAAAGCTTTCTTTAGTTGAAAAGGTAAGAAAAAAGAACATGTATTTATTGACGCATATCTTTTTTTTATCGATATGTATATTATTCAAATAGTACTTAAAATCTACGAAAATGGATATACGTTCGGTTAATCCAAGTAAATCTGATGAAATTCTTTGCTTTTTATCTTAATCTTGGTTGTTAACTTTTGGTAATTTTATTATTTCTCAAAAAAATTGAGCTTTCTATCAAGTTTTGTCAAAGTATACTTGATAAATAACCCTCTTTGTAAGGCGTATGTTTATTTAAAATATGTTTCATTGTCAAAATATACTAGTTATTGAACTAGTTATCCTCTTAAACGCTTTCTTCACTTGGAGACGACACAGCAGTTGATGATCTATATCATTTATCCTCTACTTTTTGAACTGGAAAGAGTTGAACACATACATGTAGATCGGAGTGACTATGAATCCTCAATGGATTTGTTACAATACTAGAGTTTAATCGTTTAAAAATTTCAACCGTAATCAAAACTTTTGTATGTGAACGAGAAATATTCTTTTCAATAAATTCCCCTCAGGTTCTTCAATTATATATCCAAATTAATAATCTAAAAAGTGACCAAATGTAAGGCAAAGTACATCGTTTAAAGCATTATTTATTTATTTAATTATTTATTTGAACACAAATACTGGTACAAGGGGAAACTAGATACATATGCGCCACACAAATCTCATTTGATTTGTATGAGGACTGTGGTACTGCCCGGGTGCCCAAACCGAGGCAAGTGGTTTTCCTAGGGGGCCACACCCAGAGCCTTCGACCTGAAGGTCTGATCCACAAGGCAGTGGAGCATCGTAAGGAGATTCAGTCGCATGGTAGCCGGTGACCAACGATTGGTTCATACGCCATTTGTTCTTCCAGTGTACTGGAGCTGGAGCTATAATATGTGAATTTAGGATTGTTAAATAGAAATAAGTTGTTAATGTTGAGTTGACTAATATGCAGTATTAACTTGAGTCAGCTTATAAGTGGAATTATAAGATTCATGATCAGAATAAATATGACTCAAATAAGGCAAGAGAAATAATAATGCAGCTACAAATTCGATCAAATGTTTAGTGGAAGACTATGTCAGGCAAAAATTTATATGAAATTATTAAGAAATAATAAATTAGAGTGGGTGCTAAGTAGATTAATTATGCATTCAGGAGATTAATAGCGATGTTAAACTAATAATAATAATAATAAAAGGATAGGTGAATAAAGATAACAAAGACAATTAAATTTAACGAAGAAAGGTTGCAATTGCACTAGTTGAATTAGGTCATTCAATAGTTAAGATTACGATAGATAAACTGGCCCTGAGGTTTGGGCAAGGTAAGAGAAGCGGTTGAGAATATTTCTTTTGTACACACAACTCTGGTTTTTTAATCCAACTGGCTATTGTTTCTGCCGTTGGAAGGACTCTTATATACAAAAATAATATATAAGCTAATATAAATTCGTCTATTAACTACAGATGCGGTTCATGTAAAGTATGGAGATAGAAAGTAATGTTGACTCATATAAATCAGTTTCTGAACTTAAAATAATTTTAATAACAGATTATAAATCTTGACAAATTTATAAACTATGTATACATTGAAACTTTATTACTATTTGTAGCGATGGGGTTATTCACATGTTCACAGACTAATCATATAGGTATAAAAATTTCAAACTAATTAACAGTCAATAGAATAGTAGAACTTCATCCAATAAATGAATTTTTATCTTTAAAATATACTAAATAGAACTTGGTTTTATGTTTTTACTTTATATTAAGTTAGTTGTGTTTAAATCTATTAAAGATAATAAACATCTATTATCTTCAATATAGGATTTATCATCTAAATTATCAAAAACAATATCTGAAATATGTCGACTTAAAAAATATGTTTATCAAGTAGGTTTTTATCTTTTTGAGTACTATAATGTTTCATCATTTCGAATTTCTTCATATGTCTATTTGAAAATATTAAATTATTGTAATGTAAGTAGTTTTCTCTTTTTTTTAAAAAAAATACCTAAACTTTTCTCTATCAAATGTATATAGTTCGTGTAAATTATTCACCAAGTACCAATTTCTTTACTTAGTGATGTTGACCAGCTCTACTAACTAAATTAGGTCGGTTAGCGTTTAAAGTTGTGCTATGATTTATTTCATATATATATATATATATATATATATATATATATATATATATATATTAATGATTTTACACAATCTTTGTATGTATATATGTATCTTCTAAATACCCTGAAAAAACTTTAATTGAACAAGTAATCCACAATATAGGTATTATTTCCGGATTGATGCAAAGTGAATAGTAATCCCTTGTTTATAGCAACGTCTGACCAGACCTTTCAGGTCTGATTCTAATGAATCTGATTAAGTTTTTGTGAAGAATGAGTATTTTGTTTAAATAAGTGGGTATTTCAGTGGACTATAAACAAAAAGTTTCATTATTTACGTAATGTATTGACTCAAATCTCTACTACCAAATAAGATTTTTGAAAAAAAAGTGTGATAAGAAGGTGGTCGGACACATTAACTATTCGTTAAAAAACACTCTTCCTGAGACCTCAATCTAACAAAGTTGTTGCTATCGATGTCATACATCTACTAAAAGAAATCTTATTCTAGATAGTCTATGCATCATTTTTTAGTCACTCAATGATGGTTGCTCAAACAAAGGATTGATTGCCTGGTTTTATCACCTTAAAGTATATTTATCGATTTCCCTGCTATACGTTATTGACTATCTGACTTCGTAGTCCAGATAAGTCAATACATATGTCTTTCCTATCAAGCCTGACTCATTCGATATTTAAGTTCAAAGCGCACAGAGTTGTCATTTATCATTTTTCCGACAGGACTCGAGTTCATCTCTTCAATATAGTGGAGGTTATAAGAATCGAGCCAGCAATTTTAGCTCTTATATTCAAAATAAGTTCATAATACTTCTCTTCTATAGTTATGAAAGACCTACCGGACAGTGTGACCAAATCTCGCCACCTCTTTTGTATATTTTCCATAATATCTGTGTATTTAAACTGGTTGTTCGCACGTAATTTTACCTACAAATCAATGTAGAAATATTTGTGCAATTTATCATGCTGTTTTCATCATCCTTATTACTTTCACTACTACTACTAATAATAATATTAATAACAATGGTAATAGCAATAGTAACGAAAATGGGAATGATAGTAATACGACTACTACACTTGTCACTGTAAAATCAATCTTTAATTATTTTTTATGAATAGTTGTCCATTCCGAATCTTTGTCACCATTACTTCATAGTTTGTCTGAACCTTTTTTAATCAAGACAAGTTGCAATGATTTTTATACACTCATTTTCTAATTTCTGAATCTCCAGCTTAGTGTTCTCTATACATCCGAGTCTTTATATTTACCATACTCTTCCTTTCACAATTGGTCATGGAATAAAAACGTATATAGTCAACTATTTAACTTTAAAATCATATATTCTATGTTTTCCGAGTAGACGCTGTTAAAATCCATCAGTTTGTCCTTTACACAACATATCCAAAATACGAATATAGATTTACAGTTGATTAATCACCGAGTAGTGCCCATTATCATATTTATCTAGCCCTTCAGTCTTGGCCGAATTCCATCAATCAAGTTGGATTGCAGCCGTTAATCTAAGTGACCCGATGATGTTACATATGCATAAGATATTAGATACAGTTAGTCGGCAGGAAATCCTGAATCTAGGTTTTGCGCTATTCGGAACTCTCCAGCAAGGTGCACCTACAATTTTGAGAGAAACGATTCCCCTTGTGGAGTTGGAACCCACACCTCCCGATTTCACAGTCCGATACGTTATCACTGAGCTATCAGGGTAACAACTGACGTCCTATGGGACTGGTTTATCTAAAGTTGATTAGCCACTGAGTAGTATTCTCTGTCATCATTGTCTGTTTCTGTATTTCTTGAATGTGTTCACCGGTCTAAGTGAATCTGCATTGTTTTGTAGACTTTAACTAGTTATTGATTTCTTAATCTGTCCATATAATAAAACGGATAGTTTTATCAAATACAGAGATTAATTAACATCTGTGTTTGTAGAGGAAACCGAAAGTGTTGTAACTTTTGAAAAAAATGATAAATTTTCGTCTTTTATCTCCGTTGCATAACACCCAATTATACATAATTTATTACAATGAAGATTCAAGCATCCAGATCATATGAAATAAATCAGGCGCCAAGACATTGTACTTCAGATGAAGGTGTACAAACAAGCGACTATTTACTACCCAATGATGGACCAATCAAAGTAACACCTACTCTAACCTTCAATGATACGCAGTCAGTAAGCATACTTTTTGTGTATTTCTTTTTTCACTGTTGTTGGATTTTCTTCTTGAACTGTAGGAAAGTATGGTAACGCTTGGTATTCCGTTTTTTTGTTTATTAGCTTTGCGTTGTTTTTGCTTGTCAACCAACATAATGTAAATTTCAAGATAGTTGTAAGAAAAAGTGGTTGACTATGTTTAAATATTTTATAATTCCGAGGAAATCTGTCCGAAATCTCGGTCGAAACTCTCTAGTTTCCTAAGTTAGCCAAAGCTTTAATTAAATTTTCAACATATACTAGACCATTTTCTTACTTTTATAACGTTCTTTACTGAGGGAATTTTTCTCGAGAAAAAATTAAAGCATGATTTGACGAGTAATTCTATCAATAATCCATTTACACTTATCTTTTCATAAGTGCTTACTATCGAATAAATTCTCTTTAGCAAGTGACCGCATATTGTTATAATTCTCTCTTATTACAACTCAGCTATTCTTATTGCTTAGTATTCTCGGACACCAATTCACTCGACAAGTCCCCAAATCAGAACACGGTTGAACAGGGAAGAGATTATATTCGAAATAACAAGGTTAGATTTAAGCAAGAAGCACAATAGGAAGAACGTTAGCATATTTATAGTTTTTACATGAGAAGATTTCTAGAGTATTCTCCAAGTATCGACTAGCGCTGATTGGATAAGAATTAGTCAATCAGCGTGCGCCAACGCAAGCGTGCATTGAGCATAATTATTTATTTATATTTTATTTATTTATTTATTTGAACACATAAATATTGGTACAAGAGAGCGCCAATATATATGCGCCACACAAAACAATGAAAATTCGAAGAGAAATAGAAAGAAAAAAAAAAACTAGGGAACGCAAAAGAAAAAGAGAACAATGACGAAGAGATTGGAGTAAGGTAGTGTGGTAGTAACGACGGAACGAAAAGGTACAATCAGAAGAAATCTTTCAGGTAAAGGAGACACAACCACTTTTTAGAAAGAAAGTAAAAGAAGGTTACAGCAGGATCGCCACTGGCTTCTATTCTGAGCCATATCTGATAACGTCTCTAGCCACTGTGTAGCACCATCTCTCGGACCCCAACCAGGGAGTCGTGAAGGACCAACACAAGCCAGTCCTTTGCAGCTTTCTTTCATGCCACGACACCATGTCATGCACTGACCACCTCTCCGCCTCTTCCAACCAGTCCCAGAGTCGGCAAATAATGCACGACGTGGAATTCTCTGGGACGACATTCGGAGAACATGTCCAAGCCACCGAAGTCGGTGTTTCAAGATGGTGACACCAATTGAGTTATCATCTCTGTGCCCGAACACACGATGCCGAACCTCTGCATTACTGACATGGTGTTGCCACTGAATGTCAGCAATCCTTCGGAGACAGCGATGATCGAACACAGAGAGTCGTCTAACGTCCTCAACTCGGAGAGGCCAGGTTTCACAAGCATAGAGCAAAACTGCTCTCACCGACGCGTTGTAGATCCGACCTTTTACAGCCAGACTAACATCACGAAGGCGCCAAAGGTGGCCCAGATTGGCATAAGCCGCTCTGGCTTTCACTATTCGTGCATTGATCTCATCACTCACACCCCCACCAGCACTTATGCAGCTACCCAGATACACGAACTTCTCAACTACGTCTATCTGCTCACCGTCCAGGGTGAGTACAGGATTAGAATCCTGCCAGTCTTGTAGAAGTACTTTGCACTTCGAAGGTGCAAAGCACATACCATACCTACGGACACTGATTGCCAACTGATTAAGTGCGGATTGCATGCCTTGGGCATTATCGCACAGTAAGACAATATCGTCCGCATACTCAAGGTCGAGAAGTCTTTCTCCAGGCAACAGATCCACACCACCATTACTTACATTCATCAGAGCTGTTTCCAGAATGTCATCGATGGCAAAGTTGAAGAGGAATGGTGAGATTGGGCAACCCTGCCTAACCCCACTGCTCGAATGGAACAATGGAGAGAGGTGGTTGTATGCCCTCACTCTGCCTGAGGTGTTTTTATATAGGGCTTTCAGGATGTTAATAAACTTCTCAGGCACACCCTTCTTCAATAGACAATCCCAGAGAACAGTCCTGTCCAACGAATCGAAGGCAGCCCTGATGTCAAGAAACACTACGATTGTTGGCCTTTGAAAAGTATGGCGGTGTTCTAACATTTGGCGGAGGGTGAAGATATGATCAATACATCCTCGACCAGAACGAAACCCAGCCTGCTCCTCGCGAGTCAATCTTTCTCGGGTTTTGAACAACCTACGAAGAATGACGGAAGCCAATAGCTTGGACGCAATCGGAAGTAAACTTATCCCCCGATAGTTGTTACAAGAACGACGTGAACCCTTTTTAAAGATAGGGACAACTATCGACTCATTCCATGACGTTGGTACGAGAAGGCAATGAGTAGGACTTCCCTGGCAGAGGCTGTATACGCGTGGCCGTGTGAGAGTATTTCGAGAGGGAGAGCGGACTCTCCCCACTCTCGGCCGTACCAGGGCATTCAGGGGGGCATTGAGCATAATTTGATCCAATCTATGTCTCGCTAACACATATGAAATATAACAACCGTATATTTTGTCATATCTGCGAATCATCAAAATATGTTTATGACTATAAAAGTGTTTTTTCCACTTAAAATATAATTATTCTATTTGGTTGCAGTGTTACAATTTAAAAAGGTATAGGCTGTTATCACAACTCTTACTGGTATTACAATTCTTGTTAATCTTGTCATTTTAAACCAGAAATCAAAGTTATCTAAAACTAAGTCAAGAGCGTTTTTAATAAAGTAAAAGCAGTTCTTGTGGGAGAGTTGCAGTTACACATTCATTTGACTCACCGCTTCTTCAGGAACTCCATTAGGCACAATTTTGTCACTTCATTTTTACTACTGATTATGTGTTAAAGTAATATGATTTAAAATGACTTATTATATGTGAATATTATATTTGAAATAATCTCAGCGATTAAAATTTAAATAATTCCAACGTTTCGTTCAGCAAACTTGTTTTAACACCTGTTGTCTCAATTTGAAATTCCTTAAGAACACATGTCTAAACTGTTATACAGGATCATCTACCTCGCACTGTGAACATAACGGAATCGACTTAATAGGTTTAAATCCGGAATGTTTTGACTTGATTAGCATCTTGATGTTTTATTCCATTACAAATAATTTATAGTACACTACAGTTTCCAAAGTATACATCAATTTAGTTGTATCGTTTATGGATTATCCTTAGTAATATGATGGGTGAGTGAATACGAACTTCTTCTGTTATGGATTCTACCTTTTCGCTTCCAAGTTAATTGCCTACTTCTTTACGAATATACTACTGATAACTGTAGGTGTTTGCGGTAAAATGTTATTTCGAAATATTCCTTACTTTCGATATTCTAGTTGGGTTTTCAGTTCGTTTACTTTTATTCAATAACATTAATTTTCAAAAATTGTTATCTTCCATTCAATCATTTCTTAATAGACAAATCTCACTTCGTCCAACTCATTAACAAATACGGAAGAGTTGAATAAAATACCTAATAATTATTGTGCCGATCTTAATCCAACACTATTTATCAATCAATCAAATAGTAATATCCATCGTAAAACTGTTAACGCTCCAGTAGATCTAGTCAATAAGCAAATTGAAATCGAAGTCAATCACTCTCAAGCTCAAATTAATCAAGGAAACAAAAACTGTCCGAATTTCAAACAAGATTTTCACAGTAACATCAATTTACTTGCTAACTCTACGGATGTTTGTAACGAATCTAAAAATTCTGAACAGTCAATAGAAATTACACCAAACAAAATGTTTAAAAATAAAGATGGAAAACAAATTTTTCCACCCGGTGAATCTGATGTTGTTGCATCATGTAAACCAATACCATCGGCACGCTTTAAATTGTTGTCACCCTCAGTTAAATTTTTGGATGATAATAATAATGGTATCAATTCGAACGAAAATGGATTAATCGAGTAAGTTACTTAGAATGTTGTTCAATTCAGTCTTTTTCAACCAATCGTACTAATAATAATTATAAATTTCACTAACTTTTTAGCATTAGAAATTTACACTTGGAAGTAAGGCTATAAATGGTAAGGCGGTTAAAGCATATAACTTTAAATAAGTATTTTGTTGTAAGGTTAAAATAATCTATTTCAATTCGAACAACTGGGTGGTATCTTCAGCTCTTACAAAAAGCATTTAACTCATAGTTGAGTATAAAAATCGGCACTTAGTAAGTTGCATTCAAATAAAATAAAATTTTGTAGAGTATATCTAAAAGGAGGTACTTTGTTTTTGTTCCGCTTATCACAGTGTGCAGTTCTGATTAATAAAGGATTAGGTATGAAAAAACCTAGAGGCTGCCATATTTAAACATAGTTTTACCCCTTTAAGTCATTAATGAATAGTATGAGTCATGTTTATGTATGCGAAATTCTTGATCCTGGCTCGTATAGTCGTTGTAACTTGCCGTTGAAGACTTTGTGTGATAAGACGCGCAATCGGTTGCTGTGGCACTGTTGCAATTATTTTCAGCCTTTTTCTATTTCTGAAGTCTTGTGTCATCCTTAAATGTTTTCTTCTGAGATCTCATTCATTTTTTAAAAAACTGTATTTCTCCTGTTCATGTTTCGATTGTAGTTTATACTATTCCCTTCTATTTCCTTCTTATTCTCTTGGTAGATGTGATTTATGATTTGGAAACGTGAACCGATGCTTACTCTTGGCAGGTTCTACGTAGACGACGACTGGTTAACTTATTAATGTTTTCTTTAGATTAAGTATTGAAAAGTAAATATAATTTGTGTTTTAGCAATCGCTATTGAAGTACTCACATGAATCCATGAATTCTATAGTGGATAAAACTTAGATTACAACTTATACTTCATAAAGAAGTAGGATTACACGACTTACAATATGCTAAGCACAATAAAGTGTCATAGTGTAGAAGTAGTTTTTTGTTCTATGACTGATGGGAGCTACAGAACAGAATATTCACGTTTACTTTCTATAATTATCATCACCATTACTTTTTACTAAGCTAGAATAAGTAGTTTTCCTAAATAATATATGTTTGTATTATCTTTCATCTTTCGGATAACATTGTATTTTACAAGGTCAAAACAAAGAACTCTTAACATTTATTCATGTAAACAATATTTGGTCATACATAGGATATTTGAAATAAATGGATTGTTTACAGAAATATGGTTTCTTCTCCATTCATACATCAAATTATTTGTTATTGAAAAATGCATAACCAGGATTGCATATTTTGAAATCAGTATATAATTTTCACGTTCACATTTTGTTAGTTGTACTGTTAAATGAAGCGCCCGATCAGATCTTTTATTTCGCTACGTTGACGCCATATATCTAATCTTGAACAATGTTCTTAAAGGGAATGACTAATTTCCCAAAACTTTTATTTGTGTGTGTATAAGTGAAAAAGAATAAAATAAGTTGTTTTTAATAATTTTCTTTTATTTCATACCTCGTATTATTTTCTCTTGATTAGCTTATTTTTCCTTAGCTCACGCATTGTTTATCCCTGCTGAGAGTGTTTTTCGTAATGACGATGTTGTGTCAGATTGAGAATTCTCATACGTTAGGGAGGATTTTACACAACCGTTTCATCTATATCATTATTAACAAACGTTTGAATTATCCCATCCATTTTCACGACTGAGTTTCAGAAGACGGATCAAGGTTTAATCTTGAATATCAGTGACGGGATAATAGCACCCTCTTACTAATATTTATATGTCTATTTGACAGTCAAGTAACCATCTCGACTATGTATCTCAGTGTATAGCTTGTTAGTATTTAAATCAGGAAGGTACTCGGTTCGAGTACTAACGGGGACATCAATACTCGTATATCCATTTATCCTGCTGATGAGTCTTAAATATTATGGAGCATGTGTTCTGAATCCCAGTGCTGGCCACAACTCATTAATTCCACGAAACTGTTTCATTCAAGTTTGAAACAGTTGATCGGAATTCTCGCACACACTCTTCCTTCATGTGAGATTGAATTTAAGATCTCTAGATCCATTTAACTAGAAGGTGTCTATGTTTTATTGGTCTCTATTTTCACCTTTAGTTAATCTATGATAATCGTGATTCTAGTTCGTGAATACTTTTATAATATATAAAACGTTATAAAAAATATATTACATTATCTGATATTTACATATTTTGTTTGAATTACATAGTCATAGTTGGTGGATATTATCGATTGGGATAAGATTAACTCTAAGTACCTTAAATTCAGACTAAGCACACGAGATATCAAACCACTTAGATTAGTAGATACTGTTCAACCTAACTGATTTGATTTGATTAACACTAAGAAATATGCAACACGAGATCGATTATTGCTGATTGATAAATCAGCTTCAGTATTGCAGTAGGTCACTCGCAGTGTAATTTCCTTAAATCTTATAGGTTACTTTACTCTCATCTATAGCTTCTCTGTGGTCTGTGTTCAATGGCTGTATCGCAATTATAAAACGTAACTTTAATAGTCTGCGGAACGACAGCTTAGTGGTTAACGTACTCAACTGTCAACTACTAAGTCACAAGTATGAAATCCGGTTTGACTACCTCACTTTGGCTAGCCAGATAGTATCACTAGCCCTAATATAAAAAGTGTGGTTCAAAGCGCGGAGTACATAAACCTGTGTTTGGTAAGTTATATTGAAATAGATTATTCTGTATACTTAATATTTGGTAAATATTCTGTCATTGTTATCGCACCTTAAGTTTAAAACCGCCCGTTGAACATATTTAGTAAAGTCAGTTGATTTTTTTTACTGTAAATTCACAATTAATAGTTTTTCAATGGTTATCTTTTACTCTTAAAATTCACAGTTTAGATAAGCATGACTATGCTGCTGTTTTAGAACCCACACTATTGACGTTAAATTCACCAGCTTCTGAAATATCGAAATTCGCCAAAATCAATGAAACTATTATTGATTCATTTCCAAATTCTACTGATTCAATTAGAATTGTATCCACATGTGTTCCACACTTCTCTGTTTTCACACAAGATAGTACATTTGTTGAATCAGATACAATTTTCATTGTTATCAATCAATGAATTTGTCAAATGCAGTAAGTATAATAGAATATGATGTTTTAGTTAATTATGCAACAAATTATTGATTAAAATTAATGACTTAATTCTCCTTGTAAAACAGTTTTTAAGTTATCACATCATGATTATCGTTGATATCACTTTGATAAAATACTTAATATAAGTTCCAAATTAATTTAGTCTATACCTGTTAGATTCTTGACAATTAAAGCATTTTGTAAAGAAGAAAGATATAACTTCTTTCAATCATTTCAAACGATTTAAAGTTTGCTCCGTTTTTTTCATTTTCATTTTACACATTAGAATAAGCATAATCTTTTATTGTAAGCATTCTGTTTAAATTTAACAAGATAATAGAAAATAATAGTCGAAAACTTTAAGTGACTTGATTTGAAAGTAGTTGTTTTATGTTTAATAATCTTAATTGTTCTCTTTTATTTTATTCATTTCCTTAACTTGTTTGTATCCTTCTCGTTTGCTTTGATTTCAATATCTACTTATGTAAAGTGAAGCTACGTCTACAAGAATTCAAATTGTAGCCATTACCTTGACGTAACGATCGGTTTTGTTTATCTCGATAACTCATATGAGCTATATTGACTGGAACACTAGTTTCTTTGGATCCTATTATGCTCATGTACGTCAATTAAAGAGCTGTAGAACTAAAAACAGCAAGTTTAGCTTTTGAGAGCAAAGGTCTACGACTGACTAAAGAGATGTGACGACAGTGTGGTATTCCTCTGTAACAAAAGCTATCTGTGGTGATGCCTATTTCCTACAACGGAAAGAAAGAGTTAGTAAAATCAAGCCTTAAAAATACCACACTTCATGTTGCTGCACTGATTGCGGCCACTAACAGTAAGGTTTTAAAAGTACGGAGCTTATATATCAAGAACTAATCAGAAAAAAACTGTGTGATCAGCCCCATGTAGTTGTCGTCTGGGCTCAGCAGTCACGCCTCTAGGTTTCCATGACCGTATTACACCTAACTTCCTTTTTGGCGAACACTTAGTTGATGAGGATTCGAAATGAACATATAGCATCCGGTCCCTGAAAACTACTGATGAACCTTTCCGATAGGTGCTATCTGGGACAAAATGTAGATCTATAGCTTTGCTTTCAGAAAGCTGACGTAAAATATAGTACTGGGCGATATCAAGTTACTTAGCCTATTGACTATATTGTGGCTAAACCAATAGGATTCGATCAGCACCAGGGACTTAAAAAGATGGTTACTGCTCCATAACCAATTACTTGTTTCTATATGATTGTTTTTTGTATTTATCTATCTATTATGTTAAAATCCTGACCAAGTCACTAAATACTGAAACACTCGATCATGGATATGGATGGTGGTGGTTATTAGTGAAATCCAGGACGCGTGTTCCGTTCTATTTGGGACTCATCAACTGGATGTACCTGCATCCCTGAATTGATTTTCACCTCGGAATTTGAACACACTACCGTTCGCTCCAAACGCCGTTGCGTTATCCACTTAGCTGCTGAGTCCAGATAACCACTGAATTGTGCGATGAGATAGGGTTTGATTAATTAGTCTTGACACATCATCGAGAAGATTCAAATAACCAATACAAATAAATCTGTCGATCATAGTTTTCAGTTTAACTATTTTTAAAACCCATCTCTGAACAAATGACATAAATCATTAATTTTCTCAAATAATATTTACTCATTGCAAAATTATCAGTTGTTTATTTTAGTTTATTTGTTTTCCCCTAAATTCATTTCATGTTTTTTTATTGATTTCTAGGAACAGTCATCATCATTTGAAAAGAAGTCAAATCTTTATCTACCATCATATTGTTCAACATTCATATCACCATCATCATCAATATCATTATACCACTCTCAAATTAATCATAATAGTTTAAATGAAGAAGATACAAATGTTTATAATTTAGCTGCACAATTTTTAGTGGATGAACAAAAGCATTCCATGTTATTAGAACAAAAAATTGATGCACATTTAAAGTGTTTAGAAGAACATGCTGGACATTTAAATGAATTATATTAAATTTGCATATTTTTTATATATATTTCTTCATTTATTTTGATATACGTCAACCTTTTTTTTTCTTATCATGGTTGTGTTTCGATGTCTACTAATAACGCTAAGTTTTAGTAGTATTTCTTGTTAGAATACATTTTTGTGAATGTACATTAAAACTGTATTAAATTATTTCTTAAATCTTTTTCTTCTATGTTCCTATTTCATTTATCAATCGGATAAGTAAATTAAAACTGTTTTCAAGTACAATTTTTCTTATAAAAAATAGTATTCTTTTTTTTACCAAATATGTTATTCAACTGTGATATATCTATATATCAATATTTGACCTCGTTTTAATAGTTTACAAGACTTAACCTTTTATGGGATAAGTGTATAGATACATATTACATTCTTTTACCCTTGTTGATGTTGGGTTGTTTATATTGATTTGTTGTTGTCGTTGCCGTGTAACACATACAAACACACACGTCTAAACACTATGTTCAACAAATAGGCTTCCGTACGGATAAATGCACAAACCTACACATTGATTTATTAGTAAATTAACCAGCTTACGCAAACAACCACATTAAATGATTTTGAAAATCTAAATGTTTCTCGACAGGCAAATGTGTATTCATATTCATGTTTTGTTACACTGCGAAAAATAATAATCTCCTACAATCTTTAGACATATTATGATGTATCATGTATTCTTTCAAAAAAAAAAGAATATCCAGAGGATGAACGACTAGAATTTTCTTTTTTACACCATAATGTCATATTTACCTCAACGCTTGTCAACCATTATCTCCTCTCTCATTCTTTCTCTGGGAGAAATTTTTTTATCTCCTTTTTACACTTAAGATAGCTTATTTTACACAATCTTTTGCTGTTTGTCAAGTAGGTTTTTTATTGGGCAAATTTTAGTGTAACCAAAATATTAGTCTTTTTTTCTGTATTTTCTTTAATATGAAACCAGTTAAAAGACAGTTGTGTTCCATCGATTGGTGTTTTAATTCTATTTAACGTTTCGTAAACTTGATTATTATTTCTTGTGGATTAGAAATTCATGTTGAGTGCGGAGTAAAGTAAATCATGGAACGTTGTATTTTGCATAATCCTATTACTTACTTACGCCTGTTACTCCCAATGGAGCATAGGCCGCTGACCAGCATTCTCCAACCCACTCTGTCCTGGGCCTTCTTTTCTAGTTCCATCCAATTCTTGTTCATTTTTCTCATGTCTATTTCCATTTCCCGGCGTAATGTGTTCTTTGGTCTTCCTCTTTTCCTTTGGCCTTGAGGATTCCATGTGAAGGCTTGTCTTGTGACGCAGTTGGGTGCTTTCCTCAATGTGTGTCCTATCCACTTCCAGCGCTTCTTCCTGATTTCTTCCTCCGCTGGGATCTGGTTTGTTCTCTCCCACAGTACGTTGTTGCTAATAGTGTCCGGCCAACGGATCTGAAGTATTTTGCGTAGACAACTGTTAATAAACACCTGTATTTTCTGGATGATGGCTTTCGTAGTTCTCCAGGTTTCTGCCCCATACAGTAGAACTGTCTTGACATTTGTATTGAAAATCCTGACCTTGGTGTTGGTTGACAGTTGCTTTGAGTTCCAGATGTTCCTCAGTTGTAAATATGCTGCTCTTGCTTTGCCGATCCGCGCCTTCACATCTGCATCAGATCCACCCTGTTCATCAATGATGCTGCCCAAATATGTAAAGGTTTTTACATCTTCCAAATCTTCTCCGTCAATTGTGATTGGATTGGTGCATTCTGTGTTGTATCGGAGAATCCTGCTTTTCCCTTTGTGTATATTGAGACCTACTGCTGCTACACTGGTCGTCTTCTCCTGCATCTGTTGTTGCGTTTGGGATAGAAGGGCCAGATCATCTGCGAAGTCTAGATCGTCCAACTGCATCCTAGATGTCCATTGTATCCCGCGCTTCCCTTCAGACGTTGACGTCTTCATGATCCAGTCGATCACCAGGAGAAAGAGAAAGGGTGAGAGTAAGCAACCTTGCCTGACACCGGTCTTTACTTCGAACGACTTTGTCAACTGTCCTCCATGCACAATTTTGCAGTGTAATCCATCATATGAATTCTGTATGATATTGACTATCTTCTGAGGCACGCCGTAGTGTCGAAGAAGTTTCCATAGTGTTGTTCTGTCCACGCTATCAAATGCCTTTTCGTAGTCAATGAAGTTGATGTAGAGTGATGAATTCCATTCAATTGATTGTTCCACAATGATCCGTAGAGTTGCGATTTGGTCTGTACACGATCTATCCTTACGGAATCCTGCCTGTTGGTCACGAAGTTGGGCGTCTACGCAGTCCTTCATCCTGTTTAACAATACCCTGTTGAAGACTTTTCCCGGTATTGAGAGAAGAGTGATGCCCCTGTAGTTATCACAGTTGCTGAGATCGCCTTTCTTCGGTATTTTGATCAGAAGTCCTTCTTTCCAGTCTGTTGGTACTTGTTCCTCATCCCAAATCTTATTGAAGAGAATGTGGAGTATCCTTGCAGTTGCCGCTACGTCTGCTTTTAGTGCCTCTGCTGGAATGTTGTCCGGTCCTGCTGCTTTGCCACTCTTGATTTGTCTGATGGCCATGCTGATTTCTTCAATTGTTGGTGGGCCAACATTGATTGGGAGGTCCGTGGGTGCTGCTTCGATGTTGGGTGGGTTCAGTGGAGCTGGTCGATTCAAGAGTTCTTTGAAGTGTTCTACCCACCTGTTTTGTTGCTCTTCAATGTTGGTGATTACCTCGCCTTCCTTGCTTTTCACTGGTCGTTCTGGTTTGCGGCGATTTCCAGAGAGTTTCTTTGTCGTGTCATACAGTTGTCTCATGTTTCCTTCTCTTGCAGCCTTTTCCGCCGTCGTTGCTAAATCTTCCACATATTTACGTTTGTCGGTTCTGATGCTCCTCTTCACTTGTTTGTTTACTTCTGTGTATTCAGCTTGTGCCTTGGCTTTTTCTGCTCTTGTTCGACTGGTATTGATTGCTGCCTTCTTGTTCCTCCTTTCTTGAATCTTATCCAGTGTATCAACAGTGATCCATTCCTTGTGATGGTGCTTCTTGTGACCCAGGACCTCATGACATGTTGAAGTGATTGCCTCTTTGATCCCCTTCCAGTTGCTCTCCACAGTAGTTCCTTCTCCATTGAGTAGATCATGAAAGGCCTGGAACTTGTTGCTGAGGACTATCTTGAATTTGTTGAGTTTGTTAGTATCCTGAAGAAAGGCCGTATTGAACTTTTGTGATATTGTCCGCCCCGTTGTCCAGTGCTTCTTGAGTTTCAATTTCATCTTGGCGACCAGCAAGTGATGATCTGATGCTATATCAGCTCCTCTCTTGGTTCTCACGTCCTCTATAGTCCTCCTGAACGTTTTGTTGATGCAAATATGGTCGATTTGGTTTTGTGTGGTGTGATCCGGTGAAGTCCATGTGGTTTTGTGTATGCGTTTATGTGGGAATATGGTGCCGCCTATGACCAGCTTATTGAAGGCACATAGATTTGCAAATCTCTCACCATTTTCGTTTTTTTCTCCCAGTCCGTGTCGTCCCATGATGTCTTCATATCCAGTGTTGTCCGTTCCAACCTTGGCGTTGAAATCTCCCATCAGAATAGTCAGGTCCTTTGTTGGGCACTTCTCGACGATTGACTGCAGCCTATTGTAGAATTGATCTTTAGCGTCTTCATTGTAGTCGTTGGTAGGCGCATAGCATTGGATGATGTTCATTGAAATGCCCTCTTTCTTTGTTTTGAACGAGGCTTTGATGATCCTTGGTCCATGAGATTCCCATCCTATAAGCGCATTTTGCGCTTGTTTGGACAGCATCAATGCAACTCCTTGTGTATGTGGTGCATTTTCTTCTTCATGGCCGGAGTATAACAGGAGCTCTCCTGTAGTTAGTCGTTGTTGTCCAACTTGTGTCCAATGTGTTTCACTGATCCCAAGTACCTCTAGGTTGTATCTTCTCATTTCTGCAGCAATTTGGAAGGCTCTCCCGGTGTCCCACATTGTACGAACATTCCATGTACCTAAATAAATGGTCGCTCTGGTTGTCAGAAGGGGCATCGGCCTCGTAACTTCCGAAGGAATTCGGCTTTCATCATGAGGCGTCATAATTCTTCTAAATGAAGACCTTCTGACTCCCAGGGCAGAGTTTAAAAGGTTTGAATAATTTTTTCTGGTTAGCGTTTTTTTAGCGAGTTAGTTTTCTACGGGATGGGGACGCTAACCCCATGCCCAACCCTCCTCCTTTATCCGGGCTTGGGACCGGCAGTAGCCCCCGGAGGAACTCCAGGCGGAGTTATAATCCTATTAGTAAAGGGAAATAGTTGTTGTAGCTGAATATTTACTACTTACATAGTATATTTATGACGTAACTTCACTAATCGAATTCGAGATAGTAGCATCTAGTTCTTGGTGCATGATCCAAACTATAACGTTGGATTATCAATCATCTTGTGAAGGGTTTTTGTTAAAAGTGTAATTGTGGAGTACTTAAAATACATCGGGTCAACGACACTGAGTCCGCCTATTCACTGTAGACATCAGTTAAATTAGAAAACATGCTAACTGCTTACTCTTCCTGATATAAGTTATGTTGGAGGCGTAAATCAATGTAGTTTTCACAAATGTGCCGACGTATTTGATTTTTGGCAACGTAGATAAGTTGGTTTAATTGTTTCACAAAATGTTTATCGTGATCTTTTGTGATTTTGTCCGATTTGATTTTTGTTCCATACTTTATAAGTTATGCAAATTAAGTATTTAATGCAGTAAATCACTGGTTTATGTATTCAGTTTCGATCTACATTTTTGTGTGAGTGGGAACTAAGAATATTAACAGGCTATTATGGATTTCCTTACAACTAAGATGTCCTCATACATAATACGAACACTGCATTCTGTTCACTTGGAATGAATACGAAAGCGCAGTAGCAAAGGCACGAAATTTTTTAGTGAAATAAGAATCAATATTTAAGTTAGTATTACATTCAGTGTATA